TATATATATATATATAATACTATATATATATAATACGTATATTATATATACGTATATGTATATACGAATTGTAAATAATCGTGTTTGTGTGCGTAGGTTCCCTTGGCAAATTTACTCTCTTCCTTCTTTACCCTCTTTCTTCTTTCTTTTCTTTTTCATTTTCTCTTCTTTCTTTAGGTGCTCAAGGCAAAAAAAAAAACTGCGAAATGATTATACGACGACGCAACGACAATTGATGACGGTTGGATTAACAAAGACGAATTAAAAATGTGGATAAACAAATGAGCGAAAAAATTAATCATTAATTGCAATTATGATCGCCAATGAATCACTATAGCATCAAAGAAGAAATCAAAATGAATTAACAGATCAGTTAATCGAAATAAATTGAATCAGGATGAAAGATAGAGATTTAAAGAGTAAATAGTTTTGGAGGTAAATTCAAATACAAAAGTGGCGCGAAAATTGAAATTGAAAGTAAATCAAGCGCGCAACACGCAAGCTATTTCTAAGCTATTAGCATCAACTGATTTGCAATTTGCAGTCTGCATAATCCTATCGTAACGAGTAAATTCGCGAAATTGCACCGCGTCAGATTTAATCAATCTGTTTGCACTATTTTTGCACAGCAATCCGCTTGCGTTTATACTCGACGTTTTCATCCTTGATTTACACATACTAGGAGAACTTTGCAACAGTCGTGTTGTTAAAAGAACGTGACATAGTCCAATTTCCCTCCGCCATCTTTCTTTTCTTTCCTTTTCTTTCTTTCAACATTGAAACATCGAACAGCGTTTCTCATGTATGCACGTATTTACAAGTATAATATACACGTTGTCCCTAAGCAAAGTTGAGTATTATTCGAATCGTTTATCAAGAAACATTTAACGATGTATATTCAAATGTGCTCGATCGCGATGAATTACTCGAGACGACAACACTTCTTATTCACTGAACGATTAAATCGTCAAGGAAGATGTAAAGAAAGAAGACAAGTGAAATTGAAAAGAAAAAAGAAAACACTTGGAAACGTGTTTCACACGTAGGTTTCAGAATACAGTTTGTCTGCAATATAAATTTACAAAGCGTGTAAATAGATTTGTAAGTAAATTTTTGTTCGAGTGAAATTTTACCCGACCCTGGGCTCTAAATAACAATTGTGCGAGACGAATAAGGTGAACGTCGAAGGTCACACGTGAATCATGTGTTTTTACTCAGCGTTCGAAAATATCGAATTCTTTCCGAGAGAGATCATTTACTACGAATAATTACGACACGCTCCTCAAAATGATTCGCGACTGCTGTCAAGTTGACCGTGTGTTTGATTAATAAATGTATACTTTCGATTTGTTTCAATACTTCCATCGATCTTCAGAGATGTTGGAGATTATACTGCAAACTTAACACGAATCGTATGTCGATGTAAACAGAATCGGCTTTCCTTCTTTATAGCAATTTTCAATATAGAAGGCGATCTTTTTTTTTTTTGTTTTTCCCCCCTTCTTTTTCTTTTTATGTGTAATACATCAAACGAAAGAGATTCACCTCGAAAATGAATTCGCGACTCATTAAAAATCTAGAGATCTTAGAACTTCAAATGGCAGTATCAACGAGGCTTGATCAGTCGACTTTTAGCACACAAATTGATTTCTCATCATCTTGCAAAAATTTCATATTTCAACAACGAGAGGGCCGCCCTGAAATTTCTGGACATATTTCACAAAATGAAATAGCATGGTTTCGAGCCTTAATTGCTCGGGGTAATATCCTTTGTGGGGTTTTTCGAATTTTATAATCAGACTTTGTGTCAGGTTTGTTTCAAAATTAGAGGTTTAGGTTAGGTTACGTTAATACAATAAAACCGAATATAATGCATATAACTAACTAACAATCTCATCAATGAACGGAGAGACATTGTTCACGGGAAAATTTATACACTTCTCTGAATTTCTTTTACCAAAAATAAAGCACAAAAAGTAGAATTCAAACTGAGTGACATTTACTTCTTTGTTAAATTTCTCTGCTCGATCAACCTGTAGTTTTGAAACGTTCCTACATCACGTTGATATAATATTTCACATATGAATTATATTTTATTGTGTTATTACAACAGTGTAAATGAATCGGTTGTAAAAAGTGACCGCATGAAAATAAATGATGACAAGTACTAAAATTCTATTTTAAACAGGCATACAGAAATGTTAAGCGTGACGAATAAATTAACGTAACAATATTTTGCAAAAGAAGGAAAAAAAAAAGAAGAAAAAGAGTTATCCGCCAACACAGAGCGATAAACTGTATACAAATAAATATTAAATATAAAACATATGTGTGTATGTGTGTGTGTCTGTGTGTAAGAAGGTAGTTTCAATAAAGATCACAGAATATCTTGACGAAGATTCGTCTCAGAGAAATGAATTACTTTGTACTTATGTTCCTAAGCAGAATTCAACGACAATTCAAGATTATATAAATAATGAACTTTTACAATAACTATATTCAAACATCCAACATTGTTATTAGTATTACATCAATAATAGTGAATAGTTTACTGTTGAATTGCTGCATATTAATTTAGTTTTGGGATCTCGATTTATTTCCTACACATTTAATAAGAAAGAAAAAAAAAAATGTTACCTTTCATCAAGTTGGAAATAATAATAAATTTATATTGCGTAGACATGGATCATTTGAAAAGCCGATTTATGTTTGCCAATTTAGTCTTCCTTATAATATATAAATCTGACATAAAATAACCAAGTTACAATAGTCCCCGGATAAGTGTCCATATGTATCCTTTAGATCATCATTTTCACTATTTTTTCTGCTTACTAATCACGTGTAGTTATCAAAATATTACTGAGATTTTCTCAATGAAAACATTAGGAAAAAATTAAATGAGAATCTCAGTAATTGCCGCGTGTGTAACAATTTCAGTTTAAAAATCTCAGTCACCCTTTTATTTTAATGCTTTACTTACTATATATATAATATGCAAGCCTCTCAGAAATCAAAACCTTTTCTCACTTTCACTATCAAGGAAATTCAATTTTTACAGAACTGACATACATCAATGTAGCCTCTGAATAACTCATATACTACTCTTAGAACAATAAACAGCAACAAAGTAATATATCAATCGTTAACAATGACCAATGACACCGTCAACATTTACACCATGGTACAGAAAATCATTGCTGTATCCATTTATCCGAGAAGTACTGTACACAAATGGCAGAAAACCGTGTAACATATTTTTTTTCCTAAAGAAAAGATTTTGTAGCAAACGTTTATGGAAAAAAAAAAAGAAAAAAAAGAAAAAGATAGCAAATCCTTAAGTCCTTATTTATATATTTAATACAAGTATACCTTTGAAAGGATACATTTATTAAATTACCGCCCTATACTATTGATATCTTAAAGCTTCGTTTGGCACGTGTGATTAGAATGTTATTTAATACGAAAGTGTTAGAACGTTTTTTTCCCCTTAACACGAAAGAATCGATGCAGCGCTTTATTATTATTATTATTTTTTTTTATATTCCTTTATATCCACTTTGTTGCCATTATAGTTGTGACATACACTCTCTATGTATAATAGCGCTTGTTTTCTTTTTTTTTTTTTTTTTTTTTTTTTTTTTTTTGGTTCTCCATGACTAATTACACTTAAAACACTCACATTTACAACTGGACTACTATTTAAAATGTACATCGAGTGCGTTGCGTGTTTCTCGAGCAAAACGCACGAGAAAATGCTTGTTTATTAACGTTTTTTTTTTTTTTTTTTCCTTAGGATTCAAATAGATTTCGTTTTTTTGTGCGGTATAGCTTTGTGTGTGTGTAGGAGGTTTGTGAAATTCAGTCAGTTCCCCGAACACGTTACATCTTACACTTCGTGACGACAAACATCTCGGCCAAGGGCCTTCAATAAATTTCCAAAAATCAAGCATCATTAATTTTGATTCGACGTTCAGCAAATTAACGTTTTGATGTTCGGCTTTGCTCTTGGTGACTATAGTAATCAATCTATGGCGGACAGTGTCGTTTCGTGCAGGAACGTTCCATGTTTGCAGAAACTGATTTCATTTCACAAACAATAGAAAAAGGACTCGATCGGCGGCAAGTCACAAGTGTCTCGCTGATGAAATCAAGTCACAAAATTTTGGCACTGTCGCGTACGTGCCGGTTATCTAACACCACCTTCCTGTCTTTCCTTTTGTACGGTTCAGAAATATATTTATAAAGATTTTTTTTTTCTTTTTTTTTTTTCATGGCAGTATTCACGTTGCATTGCCTCAAACGCGGAAATCTGAGCTGTTTAACCGCGAACATCCGAGATCATTCCGATTTCCAACTTTAAAAACCAGTAGAGAACATGTTCTCTCCCTCCATCACTAATAAATTATTTCCACCTCTTGCTAATTACTATCACTTCAATATATATACATACACATATATATATATATATATATACACATACAGTATATATATACATATATACATATATGTATATATATGTATATATTTATATGTACATATATATATATGTATGTATATATATGTATATATATGTATATATATACATGTATGTATATGTACGTATGAATATATATGTATGTGTATATGTATATATACATACATACTTATATATGTATATATACATACATACTTATATATACATATATACATACATACATATATATACATATATACATATCTATATATACATATATGTATATATATGTACGTATATATACATATATATAGGTATGTATATATGTATATATATGTATGTATATATACATATATATATGTATATATATACGTATATCGCACAATTGAGAATCGCACATTCTGCCTTCTCCTTTAATGTTTTTTCTCCAATATAAAAATTTCTATGTCAATCGTTACTTTTATGCAGGAAACGTAAATTGTAAACTGGAAAACCTGGTGGGCAAGGGTAATCACACATATGTAAAATACTGTGTACAAAATGTACCTTATGAAATTTACCAAGTCGAGTTGTAAACACCCTGTGTTTCCCCTAATCTAACACCTAAAATTATGAAATGAAATCCTCGAGTTTTAACTTGCTTGAATTTTCAATCGTTCGATTGTTGTGTTTTTCGCGGATCGTTTTGCCTCTTTCGGAAATTTCGTATATATTTACTTGCCTATGTATGTATAGAGAACAGAATCGAAAAGTAATATTTGCTTCTAAACAATTGTGCAATTGAACAAGTACGATTCTAGAACGAAAATATAAGGGCGACACCTCGTCATCACCTCGTCGATTAGCAAAAGTGAAATACTTTATAATTAAGAGATGGCCTCAACACATCCAGCAGAGAGACAGAGTTAGACATTATTACTTCGAATAATCCTCAGGACTTGCGACAAACTCTCAGAAATAAAACTCACCGTCGTGAGCCAATGTATGTAACTGAATCTTTATTCGAAATTTTTGTTCTTGCCTCGAGCTAACAATTAAAAATTTCGCTCATTGCGAGTTTACACTCACGTGTGTCGTTCGAATGACGAATGTATAATTTCTCTGCCGATTCTGTCTCAGGTGCAGGCACACAACGCGAAAGCAACTCAGTTTCCTTATCATCGGCAAGCACGTTTGGAGGAATGATTAAAAAGGAGACGAGAGAAAATGATAGAGAAGACAGCACGCCCCTGGACGCGCAAACATCGCACGCCGGGCGTTTCTACTGATATCATCCTCTGTCCATCGCGGCTCTGTTTCTGTTATGCCACTTGCACTTGAGGATCCTCACGTATGTTCGTCGGAACGCTGCGTTGCACAGGGCGTAACACATTGGATTCACAGTACTATTGATGTAACAAAGGTAATAGAAAAAGTCCCATAGCTCCTGCGGTATGTACCAGGAGCAGGCTGTGATGGATTTAATTAGAACGAGAATGTTGTACGGTGTCCAGGTGATGATGAACGCCAGCAAGATGGCCGACAACGTTTTCGCCGCCTTTCGATCGGCCTTCTTCTCCTGCAGCTTCTTCTTCTTCTTGTTCGCCGTCTTGTTCGCAGCCGGTTTGCTCGCCAACGCTTTCGGGATGTTCTTCGTGTTCAGGGGGATCCTTATGTCGGGTATGTGAGACGGTCTCCTGGTGATCAACGACGGGCTCACCGTCTCCTCGTGATACATTTTTATGCTCGGCCCCTCCGTGTATTTTCCCACGCCGCCGGTGTCCCGTGTCGGCAGCCGGATCAGAATCGTGTACACCTAATTTGAAACATTGTCGTACATTTCATATATATATATATATTGTATATACAGGCATATTATATATAGAGGCTGAGCCAAAAACCAATCACTTTATACTAAAAGAAAAACAATACAAATTTGCGAACGCTCTAGCGGTCAACATTTGAAAAAAATAATGCATTTAAAACATGATGAAAAAACTCATGTTTGAACTTAAATTTAATCTAAAATCAATAAAATTAGTTTCTCTTATGTATTATACATCAAATATTTGTATAAAATTACTTTCCCTTACATTTTCATATTTTATCAGAGAAAAATAAATAAGTGGGAGGTTTTGACCCACCCTGTATATATAATTCAGTCGTTGAGAGAGATCAACGCAGAGAGTTTACAATGATAAACGTACAAGGGTGTGAAGCTTGAGGAGATACAAATGTAAGCCTTGCTTGAACTAGTTGGAATGAAGTAAAAACTGAAAAAGGTTAATTAAAATTACACAAGACATTTCGGAGCAAGCTATTTAAAATAAGTGTTCATGTACTTGAAGAGTACGGTGGTGCTTACCAATAAAAAAATACACAACAACGCAACAGAAGAATTGAATTTTCAACCATATGTTGGCTACTACATGTGAGAAATTTCTACTAAAAAAAAAAAGAGCACCAATCTCTCTAACTTCTCACAAGAAGATAAAAAAAGAATATTTTAATTAGCGAAATAATAATTGGTGGAGAAAATTAGGAAGTCAAAATGCGAGACATGCTGGTTGCATGCAAAATTCTCAGAAACGTGAACAACATACAGAATCACTAGAGACACTTTTCGTCGACAGCTCGCCGGCTTTCTTAGTCTTTTTGTAATCGTGGTTATCAGCTATACTGATAGTTTTCTCAACGGTCAACGTGGTAGGATGGATCCCGCTCAGAGAGGCAGATCGTGAGACCGTACCGGTGAGAGGGGTTTCCACTGACAACGGCGTTATTGCCTCGTCGTAACCGTGTCCTGTGCGACTGCTTTCAGCACCTTCTATGTCCTCCTCTTCGTCGTCGTCATCGCGACCGCTGTGCCACCACGCGATGCACCACATCTTCAGCCACATCCACGAAAATGGTCTATATTTCTACAAGTTTATACGAATGTACTATTAATAAAATATTGTTATTAACATACTGGATGGAATTGTCAACAATTAAAGTATCAAAAAGCTTTTCAGGGAATCAGAAAAACTAGGAATGGAGAGAAGTTGATGCACCAGTTTTTATCAGTTTGGTAAAGTTTGAGAGTCTCAACAGTCTAGTTTAGATTCTACTGAAACAGCTAATAAAATATTGCAATTATCAATGATTAAAGTATCAAAAAACTTTACAAGGAATCACAGAAACTAGGAATGGAGAGAAGTTGATGCACCAGTTCTTATCAGTTTGGTAAAGTTTGAGAATCTCAACAAATAGTCTAGTTAAATTCTACTGAAACAGTTAATAAAATATTAGTATTAACAGACTGCAATTATCAACGATTAAAGTATCAAAAAAACTCTTCAGGGAATTAGAGAAATTAGGAATGGAGAGAAGTTGATGCACCAGTTTTTATCAGTTTGGTAAAGTTTGAGAATCTCAACAAATAGTCCAGTTTAGATTC